CAACTGCAAATCTTGCATTACCGTTTGAGTTTGAAAATTAACACTGCATGCATTATGAGTCAGATTTAAGATCATGTCTCTAAAATGGTTTTCAAAACCGTACTGGAGAAGTCCAGCACTGTCTCCCTCATCTAACACACCCGATTCAACTCGTCAGCTCATTATTAGAGACTTTAAGACCTGAAGTGGGTCAGAAAAGGTAAAGAGAGTTGAGAGAAAATATGATGCGTGTCAGATCCACGTCATGTTCAGCAGCAGCAGCTCTTAAAGAAATAGCAGCCAAATAACCTAATAACCAGCTGCTGTGATGTCTGTTAATCAAAAAAAAAAATAAAGAAAAAAACAGGGAAATCAATAACTTTTGTAGCTTTAAGGATTAATCTGTATTTAATTTAGAATTTAGTGTTCGATAACTTTATTCAATTTTTGTATATTTCTGCTGAAGGCCACAGGTACATATGACATTTATTATAATGTGTTTATGTGAAGATTGTTTTAATTTCACTTAAATTAGAAGTTGTTATTTTTTTAAAGTCTAATAAATGTTAAAATTGATAGTTCTCAATTATACTGCAATGTTAAATATAATTATTCAATAATACTCGTCTTCAGTCATAAAAAAAGATGCCATTAAACAAATATTAAAAATATACTGTCTTCATGCTGTTTCTACATTAATTTGAAAATTGAATGTGAAATTATTGCAATGTAAAAGTATATTTAAAAACTTTAATGTTAGGTGGGATTGATTGCCATTAATTTCAGAAAAATGTGAGATTAATTAGTAATTTTTTTGAATCGATTGACAGCACTTATATATATATATATATATAACTTTTTTGAAAATAACAATTAAGATATCTACTGTCAATTGTATTTTAAGTGTAAATAAAATATCAATGCTTTTTACCTTGTTACACCATTTTACTTGGATAACAATTTTTAAGAGGCGTTAAATGTAACCTTTTCTCTTTTCTTTTGGTGCATGATATAAAGTATGATAGAAAGGGTTGCCAAATAGTGTGAAATGTTTCTGTACAGTCATGCACTGTAAATCTGATTATTTTCTCAAGTTTTTAAAAATTAATCAATATGAATACAAAGATCATATGTCTAAGAACCTGGAAAATGAGTTTTAAACTACATTTTCTTCTCTTGGACAGAACGTCAACCTGGAAACAATGCTGAGTTTACACACTAGATCAGATGAAGCACAGACAGCCGATGCAAAACAAAACAAAGCATTGTCAAACAAACTATAAATTGCACATCTTTTCAAGAAGCTGTTTATGTTTTCACTCCAGTGTCATCCTTCAATAATGTCATTGCTTATACAAAAAAAAAAAAAAAAAACTCCTGAAATTACATTGGCTGCTGTTTAGTGAGGGAGAGCGGCTGTTAACGGATAATTAACCAGGGCATTAGGCTGAAACCTTTGCCTCTGATAAATATAGATTCACAGGACCAAGTGAGGAAATCCCTGTATCAGTGCTACAAGCCACACAAAACGCCGAATTAAACTCCCTGCTGTTTTCTGTCAACTTCTGACTGATCCTGCAGTCTGCAGCTAATGCCTTTGCTCAATGTCACTGAAGGCGGTGACGGGAATCGATGCGGCTAAAGCGCTCCTCAACAGAGCCAAACCACAGCAGCATGCCGGATACGAGCACAACTGACACACTGATTGCAGCACAAGACAACGCTTCTTATTAGATGGTTACACAAAGTGTGCACAACAGAACAGTCAATTACACAGAAGCAGTTGATGCAGTTCTTGTAATCAACATCATTTAAGTTTAAATTTAGATATAAGGGAAAGAGTTAAAAAAATGAATTGGTTTTAATTAGGGATGATGATATCGGATTTTTGCCGATATCCGATATGCCGATATTTTTCCAATTCATTTTTGCCGATAGCCGATGCTGATACCAATATATTTCCTTTTGTTTGGAAACAACACCGAGTCTCTCCTGTACAGAGATTCTAAAGAAATTATTTTTAATTTTGGTTAGTTTTTAAAAAAAAATTATTTGTCAGAATTAAATAAACAACAATGCAGTTCCTTTATAATGAGAGTACATTGAAAGCTTTGAAAATAATTATAAATCAACTATAAATCAATCACTTTTTTCAGATAGATGCAGTCGTAACCTTAACATTTTATTTAAAGATTTAACATTTGTAGATGGTCTAAAGCAAGAGTTGTAAACATTCTGAAAATCTTTCAGAGCTCATAATTTGTTTGAAAAACAAAAACAAAAAACATTACACTTTAATAAATAAATCTAGGCTATATATAAAATTATTTAATTTACAAGTGAAATGTTTGTGATTTTTATTCATGTAACCTAAATCTTCTGACCTTGAAATCAAAACATACTCGTGATTTTATGACATCGGTTACTGCTTTATTTAATCAGAAATACAATCTTAATGTATTTGTGTATTTTATTTTCATTTTATGACAAGTAGGCCAACAGCGCCCCCTAGAGCATTAAAACTCCTCACCTGACGGGCATTAGGCCACCGCTGCATGCAGACTGTTGAATCTATTGCACACCCAGCGTGTCATTCTGTTCATGCATTCTCAGTTTAAATGCGGCGATCAAAAACAGTGAATCTAATCACCATTCAGGCAAAAGAATGACCACAATGCTGACTTGATCTTATCACTAGCACACCCTGAGCACATGTGAGTTATTCGTCTTATCGGCAAGACATATCTGCATAATTGTACATATCGGACCGATGCCGATGTTTACATTTTAAGCCATTATCGGCCGATTCCGATAATATTGTGCATCCCTAGTTTTAATGGTAAAGGATCGTAAAAAATGCTACAGTAAAAAAAAAAAAAAACTTGGATATATCTAATTCTATGTTGTATAATTTTACGGTAAAATACTTCTAAATTAACAGTTTTTGGCATAGCCAAAATCCCCTGTGTGACAGCTAACATTTTTCTTCTTAAAAAGATACAATTATGATTTTTAAATTATTTTTTTAGTGTCATATCATAATCATATCAGTTATGTACACTAGGGTTTTTAGGGATTTAAAGTTACAAATTATTTTTAGATGTAGTATTTTGGTATACTAACATTTAAGTTAATGAAACATTCAATAATTTAATTCCAATCTATACAATTTTAAATATTGCTACCATTTTTTATGCTGAAGCTCTGGCAACCACAGCTACAATTTTTCCTGTAACTTTACTTTTTTTTTTTTTTTTTTTAAACAATGCATATCTCAGGTCCTGTCACCAAGTTTTTTTAAAACCTTTTTTAATACCCTTTTGCCTTCATTACACAATTTCATCGTCCTGTAGTGTGACAAATGAATTTTAAAAAGTCCAAATGGCCCTCAAATAATATGTGTTTGTAATAATATGAAAAGATTAATTAAAAAATGCTGTTTATAATGGTTTTAGATGCAGTATATCACATCACAACAGCACGTCAGCTTCCAAAAAGTTTAATTTAAACTAACTACAGTCACTGGTTATACAATACAGTTTGACCCTACATACCTGGATAACTACAAGCAAGTTTCACATTTTTGAGCATTAAAAGTTTGTCTTTCACAAAATCTTAAGGTTGGCTAAAAAAGAAGCCAGTCATATTACTTATTTGCAGTTATAGGACTGTAAAACAACAACAAATAAATTCATATAGCACTACTCAAAATGCCTTCTACAGATCATACAATACAATCAACATCTGTGGCACAAGTGCATATGAGCAATAAAACACGCAGGTACATGTAGGCAGATATAAGTCATAACTCTCGATTAAAGTTGTGTAGAGCTCTGAATGTGTCCCAGTCACTGACTCCAGTAATAGCAGACCATGCTCTAACGAGCACGTCATTACTGAGAAACAACGTGCATGAATGCTGTGAGAATCAGAGCTACCATCAACGCTACCTGTCTGGATTTAATTGATGTTATGCAATTTATGAGGGAATAAGCTGGCATATTGATTCATCCCCGTCTAAGTGCTTATGACAAAGTGTCTCTCTCTTCTCTGACAGGCCAGTATAATGATGGCAGTGATGAGGTGAAATACCATTACTGTAGCTGCAGACGCAATATGTGCTGTACAGTAAGGAGCTCTGATGAGGCTTGATGCCTTAACTTTGAAAAAGCCTTTGAAATGTAAATGCTGTACATATCAAAGGTTGGAAAGTTATTTTGGAAATGAAACAGCCAACCCACAGCAAAACGCCTAACGGAGAGAGAAACATTAAATCAGATCATAGCAAACCAGCTGAGTGTACAATAAATTAATAAATAAACAAACAAACAAACCAAACAGTATCAAATCAGCATGCTATAAAATCAAATAAGATTAAACCAGACAGTTTAAAATCTTATTTTAAACCGTAAAATAAAAAAGAAACATGCATTTCAGAAGGAATGCATGTATTATACATATATGCATAAATTTAGCATAATATAATAATAATAATAATATTATATATATATGGAAACAATTTTGATCCCATTACATTCCAAGAAATTCCCCCCCCCTTTTTTTTTTACATGTGAACTGTCCTGGAGCACAAAACATAAAATAAATTCATTAATAACTCAAATATTTTTAACTGAC